TACATCTGCATGTGGTGCCGAAGTGCATGTCCTTCTGCACCTACTTGTCAATTATTATGCTATTCAACAACATTCTGCGAGGTTGTACCTGTGTACAATAATGATGCCCAGTGCATGCTTGGTGTGTGTGTGTGTGGTCTAAAGATAGCAGCCTGTGTGTGGGTGTGCGCGTCGTGAAGTGTTTGGGTGTGTCTGATGTTCACGTGTCGCTGTGCGCGAATGTACATTCATATGCACATGCCTGTGTGGGCCGTATATGTTGGTATGTAAGAAGGAGTCCATCCGCACATAGATACGTATGTATGTGTATGTGCGAAACCTACATACTGACACGTACATGCACATGCGTATACATATTGCACCTATCCAAAAATATATGTATGTACACACATATAAATACAGATGTGTGTGTATGCACATCATTACAACCGTGCTATGTAATGTCCAATGCATAAGAACTGCGACAGCAAAGATACCGATGCAGGGCATTATACAAGAAGGGTTTCAGGGTTTAAAGTAAAAGCCAGAAAGTTGGAATATGATTATCCCAAACCCTTTATGGTAAATTATAAGGTATCCTACCCTGAAACCATATTCCAACTTTCTGGAGTTCCCTTTAGGGCCAAGTAGAGGTCATTGGAGGTCACTTCAAAGGGGAAAAGGAGGGACCCTTAAGGGGGACCCCCACCCTATAATGGGCTATATAGTGGGTATATAATAGCTATATTAAGGGTATATACCTAGGGGTCCTTATTAAGGGTCCCTCCTTTTACCCTTAGCTTACTGCGGAGGGTTTGTATGAGGACAAACGAAGAACAGGTGTACTGAGTTTAGAAGGTTCGTTACTGGCACCTGCAACCCTAAACCTCCAACCCCTGAACCCCAAACCACAAATCCCAAAGCCTAAACCCAAGCCCTAAACCCAGAACCCTAAACCCTAAACCTCTAAACCCCTAACCCCTAAACCCCCAGAGCCGCCCCGCGCTCCCGATCTTGAGGCGATGACAAGATGTACGTGGGAGCCGCGGCCTCATCGGGGCGCTTTGAGGGTCGGAGCTGAGGTTCAGGGTTTAGGGCTATGGCTATTGAGGGTTTAGGGCTTAGGGTTTAGGCTTTAGGCTTTAGGAGTTTAGGGGTTAGGGTTTAGGCTTTAGGGTTTTGGGCTTAGGGTGTAGGCTTTAGGGTTTAGGGCTTAGGGTTTTAGGGTTTGGGTGTTGGGTTTCGGGTCAAGGGTTTGGGGGTTTTAGAGTGTGTGATAAGCTGATAAAGACATGACAGGACGCAAAATGCAACACGCAACGTAGTACGGTAGTGACCGTCATGGAAAATGAGCCATTGGCTGTCCGACTTGCATGTGAGATCCGGCAGGAGCAGCCAGAGTCTCTGAAAGGTCACAGATTGTCGTCCTTGCTTGAAATGGTTCCTGGCTGTTACGATGGGTTCTGGCACTAACTCCGAGAAGACTGGGAAGTGGGACCCACCACCAAAGCCTCAAAGGGAAGCCGAGAACCTTAAGGAGTGCACCCAACCTGCACATTGCCGAAACTAGAAATCCCCACACCAAAGCTCGGGTTTGGGTTGAGAGCAAGAATTACGCGGTGGCCGGTCAGACCCCCGCCCCCCAGGCAATTTTCGGGGTTTAGCTGGCCAGACCCCCGCCCCCACGCGCGCGCGCGCGCCAGACCCCTATACCACCAACTGTTTCAGGCAATTTTTGGGTTTTAGCTGGCCAGACCCCCGCCACCCCTGCGCGCGCGTTCCCCCGCGCCAGACCCCTATGCCACTAACTGTTTAAGCAATTTTCAGTGTTTAGCTGGCCAGACCATGGACTCAAACTTGTTTAAGGCAATTTTCGGGGTATAGCTGGCCGGTCAATAATCTATAAGGCATAATAACTGTAGCAGCATAAAGTGAAATTAACTAAGAAGGTTATATAATACATCAGCAAACACACCACATTTATTTTAGGGCCCAGAGACTCCAAAACCCCTTCATGAATTAAGGAATATACTTCAAATCATATTAGGGATCCTATTATAATTAAAGGTATATTCCTTAATTAAGGGGTTTTGGAGGCTCTGGGGGTTTACTTTGACATTGGGCTCCAGGGCTCTGACTCTGAGTGGGGATTTAAGGCTACATAGGGTTTAAGGGTATAGGATCATGAAATCATGTAAGTCTAGGATGCCCAGTGGTACCCTTATTCCCTTTTTGTAGTCCTAGGTTCCTTCTAAAGTTACCCAATACAAAAAAAAACAGGCCTTTTTGTTCTTAGGTTACTGGGTATCCTAGACTTGTGAATGAAAGTCAACTATGAATAGTACTATAGTACTCATTTGAGAGAATGAAAGTAAAACTCTGTGTTTTCGTGTTGTTATGGGACTCAAAGGGTGGGTGGGTGGTATTTCAACACCCTAAACCCTAAACCCTGAACGCAGAACCCCAAACCCTGAACCCCTACACCCCAATCCCTAAACCTTGAACCCTAAACCCTGAGCCCTAAACCCTGAACCCTACACCCCAAACCCTAAACCCAGAACCCTAAACCCTTAACCCCTACACCCCAAACCCTAAACCTGAACCCTAAGCCTTAAAGCCGGAGCAAAGAAGATCCCTGCAGGATCGCGTGAAGCTCAAAGGGCCGCCAGTTCGCTTTGGCGAGGCCTGGCTTTTGGCTTTGGGGTTTTGAGCGGTTTAGGGTTTAGGATTTAGGGCCATTGAGGGTTTAGGGTTTTAGGATTTAGGGTTTAGGGTTTAGGGTCCCTAAACCCTAAACGGTTCCCTTAGGCAGCCTGGGTAAAAGGGATCCTAAACGGAGGCCTAGTGTAGAGGACTACCCCTACACATGGGTTCCTCGATATGCATACGAATGACTATACTATACCCCAGTAGCATGTTCTGACTGGCCTGACCCTGAAAAGCCGCATTGCGCAGAAGAAGCGCGTCAAAGTGACTTCTGCTGATGTCCGGGGCTGAGGCAATTGGAGGTAAACTCGGTGCTCGGGATATCAGCTGGGTCCCATCCTGCAAAGGCTTCGCGCCTCGCTTCTTCTCTGGACCTCCTTCTGGCACTTTCATGGTGCGCGTGGGTACCCGCCGGCTGCCAAAGTTCTTCTCCAAGAGTGGGCCACGCTGCAGCCGGAGGCGGGTCCCACTGGAGGTCGTCGTGCACCAAGCGGATCGGCTCGCCACAGAGTGCGGTTGTCCAGCTTTGCAACAACTGCAGTGCCTCCATGGCTATCGGAGTTGATCCCCGACTAGTGTGGGCATGAGCTGTTTTGTAGGGTTGGGGGTGCTTGAATAGGGCTACTTCAAGGGCTTTGGGCTTTGGGTTTTGCGGTTAGGCTTCCTTTAATGGTTCTTTAAGGGTTCCTTCAAGGGTTCTAGACGGGTAGCTGTGAGGGCTTTGAGGGTCTCAGGGATTATTAGTTTAGGGTTTAGGGTTAGGCTTGCTCGAAAAGGACTACTCTAAGGGCTTTGGGCTTAAAGGTTTGCAAGGTTCCAGGGTTTAGGATTGGGGTTATCGGATTTAGGGTATTTGAGGTTTAGGGTTTAGGGCTCAGATTTAGGGTCTAGTGCTTTGGTGAGCGATTGCAGGGGCTTGGCCTGTCTATGTTTCGTGTGTACACCGTCGTCTGGTTTTTAACATCTAGGGTTTGGTGTTATGTACTTGGTGGACATGTCGGATGAGGGTCAGCGGAGACAGTATCAAGAAGCATCTCCATAAGAAGCGTTCAAGTTGCTATGCAGGTAGCGCTATTTTAAAATACATACTGTCTGTATTGAGAGCCACAGTCACCACACCAATTACGGTAACGAGGGTCACGCAACTCGAGGTTAGGTCTGCAATTTTTCAACGACTGGCCTGGGTTATGGGAATGGAAACTTGGGGGGGGGGGGGCCACCCGTAGTGTCTGGATGTAGAACTCGGAGGTACGATGCCGCGCACTCGACCTCTTGGATATTTAACTGTTTCTTCGCAGGGAGATGAGGCAGCAGTCAGGCGCAAGACTGTCGGAGCTGCTTTGTAAAAACCGCTAACCGTATGTGAAGAAGACACCTAAAGCCTACGTTATTTCCAAACTCTGGTATCTCATGCTGAGCCTTTTCGTCGGTGAGGAATCTGGTGTTCTGGAAGCGCTGCTTCCAGCACCCCTGTCAGTCTGCCCTACTTGTATATTCACTTCTACTACTTGGAGGTTCATGGGTAGGTATAAGTAGGTTTTAAGTAGGGCAGCTATACTTATGACCCATATTGGGAGGCTTATAAGCCCATTTATAACTACCCATGAACCTCCAAGTACTGTAATCCTGCATTACCTTAAGGACCCTAAACTATGGAAATTATGGTATATTCCTCATTGTGGGAAACTCCAAATCTTGCCTACTATTGCAGCCCCCCGGGCCTGCATGCGTGTTTTCAGCCATTTCCACTCAACCCCTTGAGCTGGTCGGCAAAAACTGCCACGGCGAGAGGGTTTACGGCCTTTAGGGTTTGGCCTTTAGGGTTTAGGGTTCCAAAATCAGGTTCTATGAGGCTTCAATGAGGGTTGAGGCTTCCTTCAAAATGTTCCTCAAGCTTCTGCAAGTGTTTAGGTTTGGCCTTCAGGGCTCTAGGGGTTTAGGGTGCAGGGTTTAGGGATTCATTTAAGGCTTAACAGTTGGGTTTAAGGGTTCAGGATTTGTGCTTGGAAGTTTGATAGCTGGGGGTGTTAGGGTTCAGGACGGCCTGAGGAGGTCATTCAACTCAACCACAGAACCATTCAGAAGCGTACAGTGCAGATCAGTGCAGTCTTACGCTGTCTGCACCCTTCGCAGCTATACTCAAAGCCCGAAAGCGTTGTTTTGCACATCCAACTCAGCCCCTTTTTGTGCTATCCGGTCCACGGTGGGTCTTCACTTCGGGCTGTGGGCCAGCGGATCCCTTCTAGATCGCCTTAAGGAACCTTATAGATCCCTTTTCGGCCCCTTGAAGGAGCCCCTAAGGATCCGTCGACGCCATGTCCTCTACATTGGTGCACGTCAGCGATGATGCCATGCGGACAATCCAGAGTCTCCAGGCCGGAGATCTGGGAGTTCAAAGGCTTAACTAGGATGCCCAGTAGTACCCTTATTCCTTTTTTGTAGTCCTAGGTTCCTTATAAAGTTACCCAATACCAAAAAGAGAGGCCTTTTTATTCTCAGGTTACTGGGTATCCTAGTTAAGGTTTAATATAGGGTTTAGGGTTTACGGTTTAATATAGGGGCCTTAATGACCTGTACTAGTTTGAGGGGTTCCTTGCTATAATAATTCTAGTATAATCTGTAATGTACCCCAAAACTCTGTTTTAAGTAAAGGGGGGGTAGATAACTTACTAATCCCTAGTTCTCTCCAGTGCTCCCTAAGGTTCCCTTAAGGTTTGTAAGGATCCCTTGTACCCTCCCCCCTTGAACCACAATCCTTTAAGGACCCTATAATCACAGGGGTATAAGAACAGCACAGGCCCCAGGGAAGGTTTCACAAAGACGTTTCTGCTCTAAGCTAGACCCCTTCACTGCAGACAGTCGGAAGCCTGTAACCGTCAGGGTTTAGGGTTTAGGGTGTGGTTTGAAAGATTTGGAAGGCATGGGCACCGGCGTCATCGGAACCACCCATCGAAGTCTACGTCAGTCTAATCTTACCCTCTGTGTCTACAGCTTACGCAGCCCAAAGGGTTCAGGGTTCCCTTAAAAGGGTTATGACACGGCTACATCTTAAACTGTAGAGGGATCGTGTGACGTAGTTTAGAGTACATCCTTCAGTTGAGGTCCTTATCAACCAGTGCACATCCTAGCAAACCCTCTAGAAACGCCTGAAACCCAACGCCCTATACCCTAAACCCCAAATCTAGCCAATGGACGCCACAGGCCAAGTTGCGGCGAGCCTCACAGCAGGCGCGGGCTTTGCCTCCTTGCGCTTATGCATTCAAAACGAGCTTATGACTGAATGATTAGGATAGGGTTCCTTAAGAGTTCTGTTAAGGGTTCTGGTACTATAAGGGCTTCAGGGTTTCCGGGATTGAGGGTTTAGGGCTTAAGGCTTAGTTTCGGCTTTAGAATTTGGTTCTAGGGCTTGTGCAAAGGACCTGACTTTGCAAGGGGTGGTATGAGGGCCATAATGCGGTCATGTATAGTGTTGACGTAAGCTGCTCCACCAAAACAAACCCGAGCCCACAGAGCGACAACCGGAGGCCTCAACTCTGAAGTCTAAAACTGCTATGCCCCAAAAGACCTACCTTTTTGAGGAACTATATATGGAAACCATAGCAAGGAACCCGAAAAAGGTAGGCCTTTTCGTCTACCGGTGTTCTATCGCCAAGGTTTCTTTACTTAAACACCGGCCTCTGAAAGGCCCCACAAGCGGTTTTAACATTTCAGGGCCTCTAGATTATGCCCCAGCATCCCAAACCACTAAGCCCCCCTGAGCCCGAAATCCCAGTCCTAAACCCGAAACCTGAATCCGAAAGCCCCAAACCCTAGGCCTCATCCTCAAGCGGCCAGTCAAACCACGACTCATCGGAAGGAAGAAGAGCACGCAATCATGAATTCACGCAAGAGCTGTAAAAGACTCACCTAAAAAACACCTTAACCCCTTAATGTAAGCGGAAATCTCTACCTTTGCCCCGAAACCATCCAACCACCCTAAACTGCCCTGAAACCAGAAGCCTCAGCCTATCCCAAAAGCTATAAGACTCTGCACTTAGGGGTACTTAGAAATAATTTTTAATTGTCGGTTATTATAATCCCTAAGAAACAGCTAAAATTATAATTTTTGCTAGGGTTCTAAGTTCAGTATAGTGCATCCCTTCAAAGAAACCTATTAGAGTGTTGAAGGCCCCTATAATACAAACACGTAGGGCCCTACACCCCAAAAGCCCTTCCTGAAATTTCGCCCAAAGCCCCCGAAACTCTAAACCCCAGGCCAAAACAAGCCCGAAGCGATTGTACAGCTTAGGTGCCAAGTCTGTGTGGCTGGACGTGTACCGCGGCCTGGAGCCAGTATCGAAGCTGCTGACGAAACAGCTGCCAGTGTTTGTCAACCTGAATGAAGCCAGGTACAGGGACAGTGTGTACGGCTACGAGCAGTATTCCAAATTTGTGGAATACATCGAGAAGGCAGGGAACTGGGGCGATCACGTTAGCCTCCGAACAAAACCCGACTGGACTTCCAATGTTCAGCAGGAGGCTGCCGTGTCTCCTTCGATCCGGTACTTTGTGGTGCCTTCTGCCTAAGCCGTCGGCAGAAGGGTTCCCTGGTGCATCGGAGGCAAGGCCTAGACAATCCAACGCCATGGAACGACCCGTATTCCCAGAGAGCCCAATACTCCTTAATTAAGGAATATGGTTTGAATCATAATATGAATCCCCTTGTGGTTTAAGGTATATTCCTTAATTAAGGGGTATAGGGCTCTCTGGGTTGGAAAAGCCATGTGGAAAGGCCGGGCACATTGGTTCGTGCACTGTGACGCACACTCACGCTAACAGACCGCTCTGACGTGAGTAGTAATTCAGTACCCAAATTCTAAACCCCAAACCCTAAACCCCAAACTCCAAACCCTAAGCCCTAAGCCCTAAACCCTAAACCCTAAACCCTACAAGCCCTAAACCCTTACCCTAAGCCCTAAACCCCCCCAAGAAGAGGGCCCTTTCTCTGAGCCAGGTCACGGCTTCGAAGCAGAATCTTCGAAGCTTGGAGGCCCGGAGCGTTTGCCGCGTTTTTTCGGGTTTCCTTTCAGGGCTCCTTGCAGGGTTCCTTTAAGGGTTCTTACCTTGAGGGCTCCTTTAAGGTTTCCTTTAAGGGCTCCCTTAAGGCTTCCTTTAAGGCTTCCGTCTTGAAGGGTTCCTTCTTGAAGGGTTGCTTGAAGCATTCCATGAAGAGTTCCTTTAAGGCTTTAGTTGCGGGCTTTGGGTAAGGGTTAAGGGTTTGGGTCTGTTAAAGATAAAAGCTCTTTGCGGGTGAGGGCTTTAGTCCAGTTTCGAATTGAGGGTTCGGGGGTCTAGGGGTTGGGGGTGTAGGGGGTTCGAGTTTGGGGTTTGGGGTCTACGTTAGGGTTTGGGTCCTAGGGTTTGGGGTTCGAAGGGTTCTTGCAGACTTATGGGTCTCCCCTAGAGAATCCAAAAGCCGTGAATGAGGGCATTGTCAAGATGGCGCAAGAGTGGTAATCCACAAACGTAGTAGGTTCTCTCTTATCCCAAACTGCAGACCTCCTGGGGGCACGCCGCAAAGCAGCTGGAAAAAAATTGCCAACTCTGTTCTCGCGAGATTGAGAAGGAGAAAAGGAAATGATCCTTCTTAAGTCATAGGGATCTTTACGGGAGTAGGGGGGAGGGGGGTTGGGGTTTGCCACAAGTAGATCCTGGAGCCAACGTGAGCCTACAGACCTCAAGGGATTACGGTTTGGCTTTATGAAAGAAGACACCCTGAATAGGCTCTGTGTGCACCGCTCTATCCTCATAATAGCTAGACCCTCATTGGTAGCACTATAACCCCTAAACCCTACACCCCGCAACCCTGAACCCTAAACCCTGGAACCCTAAACCTTCAACCTTGAACCCTAAACCCTCCTGGAGCCCAATTCGCCTCAGTCCCAGGCACAGAAGCAGGCGTTGTTGCGAGCTCAAAAGCAGCAGATGTCAAAGCAGCAGGCCGGATCTGCGCGTTTAGGGTTTCGGGTTGAGGGGTTGAGGTTTAGGGTGTAGGGGTTAGGATTTAGGTTTAGGGATTTAGGGTTTAGGGTTAGGGTTTAGGGTTCGGGGTTTGTATAGGGCTTTTAGGGTTCAGGGTTATGGTTCAGGGTTTAAGTAGGTTTACGTCCGAGTTTCTGTAGTGTCTGAGGGCTTTCTTCTCTTTGGGTGGCCTGCAGGTTTAGTTTTTTGTTTAAGTCAGGGCATCGCAGCCTCATCGGAAACCTTTCCCCTGGCCCTTACTAAAGACTTTGTGTCCTATAGCAAGGACCTTGCTATAGAATCTAATCATGTAGTACGGTAGAAGCCTAAAAGTTGGAAACCCCATAGCCTCAATCCTTGAGAGTGATGTACAGGGAATCCCAGCACTATTTGGCCTTAATCCGGTTTCCAACTTTACGGGGTTCACTTATTGTAGGTTTAGAGATTATTCCACACGTCCTACAGACCCCCAAACCCTAAACATTAAACACCACAACCCCAAACCCTATAGTAGAAGCCAGAAAGTTGGAACATCATTATCCTCATGCCCTTAAGGTAAACTATAAGGGATCCTAGCACCAATCCTCCTAGAGCTATGTTCCAACTTTCTGGGTTCTACTATAACCCTCACAGGAGACAGCGGCGAGACTGCAGCGGGCTTTCTCCGAGCGCGAGCAGGAACGTGGTCTTTGTTTTTGTATTGTAGTATCCTTAAGGGAGGGGTGTCCAAGGGGGGTATATAGCCTAGTGATCCCTAATCCTCCCTAGTACTCCCTAAGGTACCCTTACAGTCCCCTAAGGATTCCTTATACCCTCCCCCCTTGAACCACCCTCCCTTAAGGATCCTATAATTTTAGGAGTCCTCGGCGCCCGGAGGCAGACAGGCTTCAAGCCTACACCTCGAAGCCATCTGAAGCCTTAACCCTATAACTCTTAAACCCTAAACCCCTTAGGAGCGAAACCCGAAACCCTAAACCATAAACCCTAAACTCCTTAAGCCCTAAACCCTAAACCCTAAACCATAAGCCCTAAACCCCTTAAGCCCTGAACCCTACACCATAAACTCCAAACCCCTTAAGCCCCAAAGCCTAGAGCCTAGCCCAAAGCCTGAAGGCCCAAGCGGCAGAGGCCCTCTAAACACCAAACCCAAGTCTTCAGATCCATAGCAAAGTGAATGAGGGACCCTACTTGGAGGTTCATGTTAAGTGGGGCTATAAGTCCCCAAATATGGGTTGTAAGTATAGTTACCCTGCTTGTAACCCTACTTATAACTACCCCTGAACCTCCAAGTAGAATAAGGCCCATAACAGGACTGAGACCCGTCTTTCAACTTAACGGTGCAAGCGGCTTAGGGTTTAAGCTTTCTGGTTAGGGTTTAGGGTTTAGGGGTTTAGGGTTTTTAGTAGTTTGGGGTTTAGGGTTCAGAGTCAAAGGCTTTTCCTGGCAGGAAGCTTTTTGAACCCCGGGTTTCAGGGTTTGGGGGTCGACTTGTAGTAGTTCATCATGGCAGAAGCAGACCATCATGGAAACTCGTGGCCGCTTCGATTTCTTGAGAACCACAGGAACAGCCCTAGCCAAGACCTGTCGACCCGGAGTAAAACCGGAGTCTCGGCAATCACCAATCCTATGCTTGTGCATTTCTTAGCATCCTTGTCTACATTGGGCCGCTAGTGTACAGGGATATCGGGGCCTTAATAATTAGAAAGGGTTTGGGGTGATACAACACTATGATTAGCCTAAGGAACCCCCAAAACCCTATTCTACTTATTAAGGCCCCTACAGTACATAGGTGTTGGGCGGCGCGCTGCAGCCTGAGGACCACCCCCGAAACCTTGCACCCCATGTCGTAAGGACCAGAAGTACACCGAGCAGCTTCTCATGGAGCTGAAGTCGTACCAGCTCCTTGGAGCCCAAATTGACGCCTAACGCCCTCATCGGCTGCGATACCGCCCGAAGCTTTAAGACACTCACAGACCCTGACATCTGGGAATGGTCAAATCTAAAGCCATCTTTGATGCCCGTCCATGGTGGCACTGCAGGACAGTTCGCCAGTGTTAGAGTCAGGACCCGCAAAAGGAGCCTCTCTAGAGAACCCCATGATCGAAACCTATACCCAAAGTACACAAGCCTGAACACCCGAAATCCACACCCTAAACCATCCTGAACCCTAACCCTGACCTCTAAACCCGAGATCAGAAATGCTAAGCCGGGGGACATCTATCCTAGGGATGAAGGCACCTTGTGTTTAAAAAAACCTGGAGGAAGCCAAGACGCAACTGCGAAATCTTGGTAAAACATCCCCGAACCCCGAACCCTAAACCCCGAGCCGTAAGCTCGGAATCGTAAACCCAAAACCTTAGACCCTAAACACCAGACCCGAACCTGAAGCCCTAAACCTTAAACCCTGAACCCTAGACCCCAAGCCCTAAACCATAAATCCTGAACCCAAAACCTTAGACCCTACCTAGACCCCCCAAGTACTCTCTAACATATCCCAGATACCCACTATTACGGACCATAAGGGCTCTATTACAGGGTACTACTTGGAGGGTCGGGGGACTTAGTAACTGGTTATTTTAGGGACTTATAAGTACCATAACCCCAATTAGGGTCCCTTTTAGGATACTTATAAGTCTACTTCCTACCTACTTACTAAGTCCCCCGACCCTCCAAGTAGGGGGGTGCTGGTAAGCCTTAAGCCTTAAGCCCTACTCGAGGTCTGAGCTGGCAGCCGCAGAGGAGCGCGAGGCAGGACGAACTTGGAGCTCCCAAAGCTTTCTCTAGGGGTGCGGTTTAGGGTTTAGGGTTTAGGGTTTAGGGTTTAGGGTTTAGGCTAGGTTCCTGAGTAGTGCCCTTTTGCCCCTTTTTTAGTTTAGGGTCCCCTTATTAAAACCGAAGAGTAGGAAAAAGGGTAGCCTTATTTTAAAGGGGTTACTCAGAAACTTTCTCTAGGGGTCTAAAGTAGAAGCCAGAAAGTTGGAATATGGTTATCCTAAGCCCTTTATGGTAAATTATAAGGTATCCTACCCTGAAACCATATTCCAACTTTCTGGAGTTCCCTTTAAAGGACCCAATAATTAGGTACCGAGGTTTAGGAAGTAGTTATGTAGGTTACTATCATGGGGAGTATATTATGGTCGTTAAGTACTTGGACCCTTGCACCCTGCTAGGGGTCCAGGAATTTAGGAGTTTGGGAGTTAGGAGTGTAGGAAATTCGGAGTTTCAGATCTAGGGTTAAGGAGTTTAGTTTCAGAGTTTAGGAGTTGAGGGTTTCGAGTTTCGAGTTTAGGCTTTCAGAATTTAGGGTAGGGTTCCAAGCTCAAGCACCCAGGTGTTATAGGGGCTTCAGAAACCATAACTGTGCCTCACGCTCCATGTATGAGGAACTGGGATTCAGCTGGGTATAGAAGTTTGAATAATGATGAGTATAAGTATGCTCGGGTCGTCCAACTATACTATATTTCACATTACACCAAACTCCTCCATAATTCTGGAGGTTCCTACGGATGTTTGGGGCATCCTTCGGAAGGCCTGTCTTAGAGTTTAAAGGGCTTAGGGTCTAAAGCCTAGGGTAGAAGGTATAATTATCTACGGCATGGAGTTCATATTTCGTGGCAGTACAGTACTCATGCCTGAGGGGTTCAGGGTACCGGGTACGACCTCAACCCCGAGCACTAATCTTTAGCTGATCGAAGTTACTTGGGTCTAAGCTCGGCTTGCCTGGCACGGCGCATTGCACTACTGTTCCGGCACAGACCGCTGAACACACAAGCTGGGCGACTCTGCGTCGTCGAATTGCTGCAGTACAGGTGGGAGTGCACGAGCAAGGCGACGTCCATAGGTCAGCGGTAATGAATCACATCATGCGATACATGCAGTTTGCAGGTGTGCAGGGTGATGGTTCCCCACCCTCTGCATTGCCGTCAGCTCGCCACTCCGACAAGAGTTTCGGAGGTGGACATGTACAACTGTTCCAAACAACTCTAGCTTCCGCCATGAAAATGACTCGAGGATCCACAAATTTGTCCCACACACAGACTGCCTAATATCAGGTCACGGGTCTGCGTTTGGGAGTCGCTGTTGCCCTTGACTTGATTTTCAGGGCAGCGCAGGAACTCTCGCGCCCTAAACCCCACAGCCACTGCAAGGCCCAGGGGATGAAGCGCTATGATTGCCGAGATCTGCAACGCAAGAACAGGCACAACCATACACAACAAGCGCATGGTAAAACCAACCAACACATAGGCCCTTCATAGCAGGGTCCTTACCACAAGGATTTCTAGATAAGACATCACAGCCGTAGACACTCAGCCCTTGACCAGAAGGTCATCCAGAAATCCATAAGGGATTCAATCAAGGACTAAACCTTCAACCATGCCAAGGATCCGTTTACAGTCGATTGTACTCTTTGCTAGTACAGCCTCAACCATTTCAACGATCCCCCTACGCTCATGGTATATTTCCTGACGATGGTGGGGTGGCCTTGGCTAGGCCCAGTTCCCCGTCGATCCGGAGACGCATGCAGTGGTTTGCCGGCAGCTCGAGGCCAGGCCCACCTCCGAACCCCCACAAGCCTAAATGAAAAGCTCTTAAATGCAAACCGTGATATGAATCTCTAACCGAATCCTAGTTTGGAGGTTAGCATTTGCTGGCTAGAGGCCTCAACCCATGACCAATTCCTAAAGGGAGTTTTTTCAGAGAGTGGGAACCCTGTAACATGGACGCGATATACGGGGATCCCCATTGCGTCCCTAAGATATGGAACCCCGAAATTTCCAGCACCCTCGACATTTCTGGACCCGTAGGCCCCCAAAGAAGCCTTCTCAGCCTGACTGAACCCTGGGCCCTATCCTTCGGACCTTAAGAAACAAGAAAATTCCTATATCCTACACTCCAAGCCCTACCGAAATAGCTGCCTCAGCCCTAAGGACTAAAACACCTAAGCCAGAAAGCCTCGAAAATCCAAAGAGGCCGCACGATCCGAGCTCCGTGCGGAGGAGGCCATGCCCTCCACGACCCCCCCCCCAAGGGTGCAGGGGTTTGGGGTTTAGGGAGTTCAGGGTTTGGGGTGTTTAGGGTTTAGGGAGTTTTAGGGTTTAGGGAGTTTGGGGTTTAGGGAAGAGATGGCTTAAGGATCGAGGGCTTTTGGGTTTATGGGTCCGTCCGGGGCTTGGGCTCAGACGTTTCGGAAATACTGTTCATGGTGTTTGGGCTTACAAGGCTTGGGGAAGTTGAGAGTGCGAGCTTCTAGAGTTTTATGCAGCATCCTCTTGACAGGACTCGAATCCCGAAGCCATAATTACTAAACCGTAAGCTGTTCAGTTGTTCAGAGTTTATGGCGGGTTTACGGTCGGGGTTTAGGGGTTTAGGGGTTTAGGGGTTTAGGGTTTAGGGGTTTAGGGTTTAGGGGTTTAGGGTTTAGGGGTTTAGGGTTTAGGGTTTAGGTTGAGCTTTTTTGAAAGCTTAGAGTTGGGGCTCGGATTTCGGCTCTCCGGCTCTTCAGGGGTTTACCTGAACCTCAAGTAACCTACCCTTTTTAAAGGGTAAAGAACTCATATTTAGGGAACCCTAGAAAGGGTAGGTTCCTTAGGGTTTAGGGCTTACGGTTTAGGTGAGTTCGAGGTGTGCTTTTATGCACGATTTGATTAGCTGACCTCGGTTTTCTCAAAGGTCCGGGATGGAATCCGGGTCCGGCAAGAAAGTAGTCTTCATATCCAGGCCCCGGTATTTGATGGGTATAACTTAGGTACGGCCCCCACTCAGTAATAGTTGAATAATATTCATAATATAGACATATTAGGACCTTATAATAGTAGCCCTATTATAGGCTCTTACTATTTGGGGGCCGTACCCAAGGTATAGCGGTATGACTTCGATATTGATTGAGAGCCAGGCCACAGCATGGCCCAAAGGCTCCATGTACCCTTATAGTAGATACTTAGGCCGTAAAGTGGTCCCTATGTAGGTACTTTAAGGCCTAAGCATCTACTATAAGAGTACATGGAGCCTTAGGAATGGTAGTGGCGCGGCAAACCCGACAGAGTTGGCTTGTTCTCAGGTACACAGATGCGCCTCACCCACGCCCTCAGATCTCAAACAAGGAAGTTCTCATTCCCTAGGCAGCGGAAATCCGAAACCTTGAAAAACCTAAACCCCTAAACCCTAGAACCCCAATTCCTAAAGCCCAAAGCCATAAACACCAGATTCAACCCCAGATACCGCAACCCCAACCCCTAAATCCTAAACCCCAAAGTCCTAAACCCTGAACTCTAAACCCCCAGACCTACACCACTAAACCCCTAAACCCTTAAACTTAGTTCGTAAACCCCAAAGTCCTAAACCCTAAACCCCTAAACTTAATTCGTAAGCCCCCCCATGACTTACTTCTGGTTAGTAGGGAATGGACCAATGGTAGTAATAGTAGATATAATGGTACCCCATTCCTCCATCCCCTACCAACCAAAGGTAAGTTGTACGATTATTAAGGCCCCTATATTATAGTACCCCTATAGATCCCTTATAAGGCCCCTTTCATTCCCTACTAACCAAAGGTAAGATACCCGAAACCCTGGAACCCCTATAGATTCCTTAAAGGAGCCCTTGTAGACCCCATACGTAAGCCCCCATGAAGCCCCTATACCCTCATAGTATCCCGATAGATCCCTTTAAAGGGACCCTTAAAACTACCCATGAACCTCCAAGTAAGCCCTAAACCCTATACCCTCATAGAATCCCTATAGATCCCTTTAAAGGGACCCTTATAACTACCCACTACACCCATAAAGCCCCAGAGGCCGCCAACGACGCCTTGGCCGCTGAGCTTGGAGAGGCCGAGGCCGCCAGCGCAAGGAGGGACCCCCGGCGGCCTTCTGGGCGTTTAGGGTTTAGGGTTTAGGGTTCAGCAGCTCCGGATCGAGCAGTTCTAAAGTAGAGTTGTATTTACGGTTTAGAAATAACACCCACCCACCCTTAGAATCCCATAACATAAGCCATGTAAAGTGTTTCATCATTATTCAAAGAGTTCTACCTGCAATCTAGCCTGTCACACTTTAATGTCGCCTTTCTACACCACTAGGAAAATACAACAGTTCATATTGCTCCCACAGCTGATTTATTTTTTTAAGGTTGTTGAGCTTAGACTTACCTTAGATTCCTCCAACCAACTAGGTGTGTTGTATATGTTGCAAGATATTTATTCATAGTTAGTTGCCAGTCTTGGGCAAGCTAAACCTTAGGTTCAGTCGGTGAATTAATTACTCTGGAAACATTTGCGGCTGTAGCTAAACCTTAAATTTCCTATGGTGTCAACACCGTTGCTTGCTTGTTTTAAGTAAAGCACGTCAAAGATGGAAGTTGCTGGTGTCGCTAAACCCTAAGTTTCCTATGGTGTCAACACCGTTGCTCGCATGTTTTAAGTAAAGCAAGTAAAAGATTGAAGTTGCTGCTGAAAGATTGAAGTTGCTGCTGTCGCTAAACCCTAAATTTTCTATGGTGTCAACACCGTTGCTTGCTTGTGTTAAGTAAAGCAGTTAAAAGATTGAAGTTGCTGCTGTTGCTAAACCTTAAATTTCGTATGGTGTCAACACTGTTGCTTGTTTATTTTAAGTCAGGTTCTAGGGTGGGGAAGGCATGTGGCACGGAGGACTGTCCTGAGAGCGAAACAACTCCGGATGTAAATGTCGTCTTGCAGAGAATAGATGCGAAGGACCTGGGCAGTTCTTTGAGTAGGTGCTAGGGTGGGGAGGGGATTGTGACGGAACATAAAAGAAACACACGCACTAAGAGCGAAGCAATGAATGAAGAGGATCTCGAAATGACCTTAAACGACGAAGGTTTGACCTTAAACGACGAAGGTTTGACCTTAAACGCCAGCCCAGGTTGACCTTAACGACGAAAGGGTTGACCTTAAACGACGAAAGGGTTGACCTTAAACGACGAAGGGGTTGACCTTGAACCACGAAGGGGTTGACCTTAAACCACGAAGGGGTTGACCTTAAACGACGAAAGGGTTGACCTTAAACCACGAAAGGGTTGACCTTAAAGCACGAAGGGGTTGACCTTAAACCACGAAGGGGTTGACCTTAAACCACGAAGAGGTTGACCTTGAACCACGAAGGGGTTGACCTTAAACCACGAAGGGGTTGACCTTAAACCACGAAGAGGTTGACCTTAAACCACGAAGGGGTTGACCTTAAACCACGAAGGGTATTAAGGTTTAAATTACTATGTGAAAGAGAGGTTTAGGGTTTAGGGTTTAGGGTTAGGATTTAGGGTTTAGGGTTTAGGGTTTAGGGTTAGGGTTATTTAGGGTTTAGGGTTTAGGATTTAGGGTTTAGGGTTTAGGGTTTAGGGTTTAGGGTTAGGCTTTAGGGTTTAGGGTTTAGGGTTTAGGGTTAGGGTTCAGCAGCTCTGGCTTTGAAAATTTCAATCAAGCTATTTCTAGTCAAGCTATCTTCAAGAAGAAACCCCACCCGCCCAGAGAATCCCCTCACATTAGAATTATAGTTTTATTTCTTTTGGCTTGAATTATTTAATACTAACTTACATACGACTCAAAGAATCTATCATATTTTCAACCGTTCGCGAAAATAAACACACTAGTGACTTCACCATTGACGTTATTGCCTGGTAGGACCTGTCATAAACTTCAGACAGAAACTACACAACAGACATGCTTTGGATATCCATGTAGTGGCGGTCAGGGGTAGTGATTTAGCTATTGCTTGGAAGTTGTTGCTACATGTACACGCCAAGGCTTTGCAGAACATGTCGCATATTTCAGACAGAAACTACACAACAGACATCGTCTATTCGCTCAGCTGTACCTACATGTAAACGCTATGCTTGGCAGGCCATACCGCATATATCAAACAGAAACTACACAACAGACATCGTCGATTCGCAATCCAAGCTTACTGCAATCACAAGAGAAGCTATACTTGTTTCAATCGGAGTGCTTGTCGTGACTACACCCCAATAAGCGACGCTCATGCTCTTGGCTTTCCTCGCTAAACCCGAGGGGCCCTAAACCGTGAGCCCTAAACCCGAGAGCGCCCTAAACCGTAGGGCTCTAAACCCGGGGCGGATCAACTCCCTAAACCGTGGGCCCTAAACCCGGTGATCAACTCGCGCATCAACTCGCCACGAGTTTTGATCAAGTCGCCACGAGTTTTGCTCAAGTCGCCACGAGTTTTGCTCAAGTCGCCACGAGTTTTGCTCAACCGCCACGAGTTTTGATCAAGAGCCCTAAACCGTAGAGCCTAAACCCGGTGGGGACCCTAAACCGTAGCGGCTAAACCCGGCGGGAGCCCTAAACCGTAAGGCCTAAACCCGGCGAGGGCCCTAAACCGTAAGGGCTAAACCCGGCGGGGCATCAACTCGCCACGAGTTTTGCTCAAGTCGCCACGAGTTTTGCTCAAGCCGCCACGAGTTTTGCTCAAGTCGCCACGAGTTTTGCTCAAGTCGCCACGAGTTTTGCTCAAGTCGCCACGAGTTTTGCTCAACCGCCACGAGTTTTGATCAAGAGCCCTAAACCGTAGAGCCTAAACCCGGTGGGGACCCTAAACCGTAGCGGCTAA